CGACTTCTAAACTTAACAAAACATAATAAACTATATATTTTCTGAAAGATATTGTAAAAAACTATGTAATAAGCATTTAAACTTAAGAAAAAAGTTTGCTTAAAGTATTAATTTTGGTTAATATCATATAAAAATGTCAGCCATTTTGAAATCAAAAATAAAGCATGAAAGGAACCGATTTGAGCATACTTTTTTGTGTTAAAACAAAGAATAAAGTCCAAATTTTATGTTTTGAGCCATAAATCATACCTAAATTTAGTATAAAGCTTTAAAAAAAATTATCATAAAATCGTTTCCAAACTTTTGGACGACAGCCATTTTAAATTTTAACAGTTATTTTTGAAATACTTAATTATAGTACAAAATGTTTTTATTGAATTAAAATATAGCAAAAACTACACAGTTGGTGAAAATTTGAGCTCATTTGCTTATGTTTAAGTATGTTTATTTGATAAAATTCAAAAAAATTGACACTGTTTCTAAACTTTTGGACGCTACTGTAGTTCCTCACACTTCAATAATACAATATCTATTATCTCATAAAAGATTTCTTCTATTAATGCCGCACTCAATTTTGAAAAAAGTTATTATTATTTTTTCACACTTGTTAATAAATGTCTTTTGTCGCACATGCGATGAATATTGAAGAAGAAGTAGGGAAAATGACGTGGCGCCACAAATTCTAATGGTAATAAAGAGTCGTTTGTTTTTCTTCTGTCATTGTCATGTAAGTGAGGAAAAAAATGGGGGACTATGTATGTTTTCAATACACTTGAGGGGTTTTACTTCTATTCCCTTGAAAAAATTTATAATGAATATTTATTGAAAAGCAATTGAATTTTCAAGGAGAAAGGCATGAAGAGAAAGAGAAATTGTTATTTTTCCTCAATAAAATGATGATTATTCAGCGAGCTTATAAATAGATGTGATGTGCATAGAGGAAAAAGATACTTAAAATTTATTGGTGTGAAGAATATAAAGTATATGTGCATTATAAATTGGCAATAAAACTAAGTTTTAGATGTATTATTTTTGGGGGAAGGATACTTGAGATTGTTTATTAGAAGCTGAATTACTTAATGCTCCCAAGTGGAGCTTAGATTACAACAAAAGGCCTTCCATTTGAATCTATTGCTGGCTCTATCATTTAGTTTATAAATTTGTCTGTCTGCACATTAAGCTAGAATTCTTTCATCACTGTTTTGTGCCAAAGTAGCTTTTGACGCTCCTGGACGTCTTTTCCCTTGCGGATTCCAACCAAGTGCGGTTGTTACAATTGTGACTTACAATTTTGTGTTTCTGTCCCAGCAATGACATTCTCTCTGGCTTTTCAGCAGTCAGTTGGTGAAAGACCAACCTTTACCATATCTGAAGTCGAGTCCAAAGATTAAGAACAGCTTGTCCACAACGCATTTAAATGAAGACATAAAAACCTTAAAAAATAAAAATAGAAATGTCTTTTCGTACATCATAATTTTACTGCTCAAGTTATGACTAATTTGCTTTTGAGCACTTAAGCTGCACACAAAAAATAAACTGACATCACCCAAGTTGAAATTAATTTTCCTCACAATTGATATTTATTTAAGCGCTAACTGTGGAGCTTGTTTGAATAACGAGTAATTAAGTAAGTAAGTAGGTGCGATATGCGAAAGAGGCAGTGATTAATATTTTCCTTTCATTTTCTTTACAAATTACGTGAAACGTAATAATTAAAATTTTAGGTTAGAATATTTTTTTGAGATGTGCCAATTGAATCTATTAGCTCAAAGGTTCTTAAAATTCCTTCACGTATGTAAATCCATAAAAGCCCTATTAATTAACAACAAATATGGAAATATGAATGATTTAAAAATCATTAATCTTCTGCATGACTCACCATAAGTGTGCCCTTGTTCACTACTTCACACATTTAATATTTTTTTCATCATGAGACAAAACAGAAAAATTTATTGCACTAAATTTATTCTAATAATAAAAAAAATGTTCTAAGCAATATAAAATTCGCCATTGTGTTCATGCGTGATGTAAATTTACATTCGCAAGTAGGCAGCAGACTAAAAATAAAGTAATTAGCATTTATTGACCACAAAGCTCATACAGAATGTGTTGTGAAAAACAAAATTTACATTTTATCGCGATATTGGGTGTCACTACATGAACACATGATTCTAGAGAATTTTGAGTAGACTTCTCATAAAATCGATAGTAGAATCTGTTGACCTCATCATGACCACGATTGTTAAGCTTTAGGCGACAATTTATATGACATTTCATTAATTTTTATTGTATCTATTTATGCACAATTGAATTAGGTATGGTTTGGGGGATGGAGGCTCTAGTGAGCAGATTTTATGAGTTTAGTCATTAATGAATAAGTTTGAGCCTTATCAGGATGTCCCTAATTGTCGATAATTACGCATTTTGCACTTAGTAGTGCTTCCCCCTTATAAGTCAGATACATGCATCGTTGACACGATGATCGCCAGACTGTTTATAAATATTAAATTTAGAGATCGTATCATTCAGCAATTACAGACTTATTATGATGAGGGGGAGAATTGATGGAACCCAGTAACATACGACTACATAATAACAACAACAGCACATTTTTTACGAGAATTTAATATGAATTTTATTGATGTTAATATGAATTGTTTTTTATGATCATGTTACGCATTTAATTGTGAGTAGTTTAAAAAAATTTTCAATAAAAATCAGTTAACCTTTATGTGATGTATTGAATATGAAGAGCAGAATTTGAGATATTAAGAATTATGGACCAGGAAAAGATGAAAAACAGACAATGAATTTTTTAAAAAATATCTCAACAATTCGGTGACTTTTAATTGCATTTAAATTGCTTTTTATTGTTTTTTAGGAATTCTTTGAATTTTTTAAGGGTCTTTGCTGTTGAGAATGTTGTTTACGAGATGAACTGGAAGTATTTTTATTTATTCTTATAATCTGGTTAAAAGTCATTTGTGAACGATTTTATTTTAAAAAACGAATCCTAACAAAGAAAGGCACAATTGCCAGACATTCTAAGATATCCATGGACATCATTTGCGAAAAGTCACAAAACCTACATAAGTCATTCAACAAATAAGAATCATAAAGAAGAAGCTCAGTGAATATTTTAATCATCAGAAGGTCAGTTTTATGTTAACGATTCAATGGTCGAATTTTATTTTTATGTAAACAAAATTAACATTTCTGATAGCTGAATAAACAGAACCTACATTAAGTGTGTGAAAATCTCTCCATAAGTCTCTCAACAATTCATTCATTTTTCCATAGATTTACTTACTGTCATCACAAGGTCGCCATAAAATATTTTTTGGGAAATAAAATTTAGTGTAATTTCGTGATCAGCATGAAAATACGCACATAAAGGCAATTGGTCACGGAAGGAAGTTAATAAATCTTTCTATTTGCAGTAATAATTTTTTCTTTGTTTCTTAAAAACTTTTTTCACATCCGATTTACCAAACATGTTGCGTAAAAAATAAACATTTTATATTGCGTGAGCCATGCAGGCATTGAATTAAATATCTACGACGAAAATTATTGATTTTGTCATAGAAGTTTTTTTTTTGGCGAAGTATTTTTATTTTTTGCACGCGACCTAAATTGGAATTAATTCAGAGCACTTTACTAATTTGATCGAATTGATGGTTTATTTATTTGGATTATGTGAGAATTGAGAGGCACTGAAATGTTCTTCCATGCTGTTATTTGGATGAGCTTTTTGCTCAAAATGTAATCAATTCAGTTTAGAACTCCTCCAAACCTTCTCAACTTAATCTCAATCCGTTGCAGAATAAGAACATTAAAGTCGGAAAAAACGCATGAATCTATGCCAATAAAGAAAGACAGCTTCAATTATTTTCCACAACAAAGTAGCAATTACCAATAACTTCATTTAAATTCATCTCTAAAGTTTACAGCTCAAATTCATCAACAATATCTTTTTCAATATTGAGTACATCATTCAATGTGTAACGATCGTCTATGACGTTCACTAGGTGCTAGTCAGAAAAGCAAATAAATTTATAGAATTAATCAACAAGTACAACCTACATTTGCATGTAATAGAAAGACAAATGTTAGCGACACTTAAGAAAAATTGCAATGTGAAGTGGCAAATGATGGAAATGGCGACAATTAATGCATCGCCTACATACTGTCAATAATAAATGAAAATTTTATAGATTGATGTTATGACTCTATGATGCAATTTGCCGTCACTCATCAGTTAAAAAACTATAAATTTCAATTCAAAAATTACCACCCGGAAAGTTTTTTTCTTTCTTACGGCGTTATTGATGGAATTATCATCAATGTGCTCTAAATTTGTTCAATTTCCCATTCAGAATTATTAAAATGTGATGAAACTTTTTATTATTGAATAGCTCCGAATGCAAAATGAATTGCACACAGCACTTTTATTGCTTGTTTCTCATCACTTATTCAGCCTTTCATCGGCTCGTTACGTAATCAAAATGATTCCTATTTGTAATTTTTATGAATGTTCTTTAAACATTCCAGAATTGATGCGTGAATGTGCATTTTGTTTTAAGAGTTTACAATACGCTAAGGAGAACTGAAAATCCATCTCAAAAGGTAACCAAAAATGCGCTTTCAATTTCCACAAAATAGTTTTTCTAAACTCTAAAAAAGCTTTTCTATGTTTTTTTATAGCCTCAAATGCATTGTTCGAATGGGTTTAAATGGCCATAAAAATTATGAAAAGAAATTTCTTGTTATATGGTATTGCATATTTTATGACTGCATTCAACAGCGCTTTAATGTTTTTTAATGCATATTTTATTTTATATTTTTGTAATGAATAGAAGGGTCAGATGCTAATCAACTTAGCGAATGAATTTTGTATTTGTGTCAGAGGTTTGAACGTTGAAGGTATCAAGAGGAATAAGTAAGTTGACACAAAAAATTATTTGTTTTTTTTTAATTTAACTTATTTATTGTCATTTTTATCCAAACTTAAATATTTAAATCTTATCGTCTAAATTTTGAAAGTAACTTCGCCATCATAGGAGCAGTCTTTACCGAACTAGTCCGTTGGTTGGTTCCTTGTCTACAAACCGGTTGAGCACCAGCTTGAACACTAGCTGCTAGTCTTGATCGAACATCACTAGATGCAAGAACATTGGGCTTCAAATTCTTTAAAGTTTCAATTCTTGCTGCCAAGCTTATAACAGGTCTTCTAGTTGAACTAAATGTTTCTTGCTTCTTAACAACTCTTGGTGCTTTGACTATTGTATCCACAAAAGCAATTTTTGTTTTCTGGACACAATTTGATGACTTTTCAGTTGTTTGTCGAATGCTTTGCTTCAATCGATTCAGCTTTTCTTCGTCTTCCTTGTTGCATCGCTCGTACATTTCACGCCATGATTCCATTTCCATTGGTTGTCGGTTTCTCCACTTTCGTTGACAAATTGTCTTCCACAAAATGTCAGAATCATCAAGCAAGTACGGATTGTAATATTCAATCTTTGTTAATTGATCTGGTTTGGCTTTTTCTAAAGCAGGTCTTAAAATGGCAAATGGAATATCTCCAATACAACCGACAAAGTCCAAATTATCTGTCAGTACTTTTAAGCACATTTCAGTCAACTTTGGTATATTCGAACGTCCTCGAGAATTTCCACTGTAGATTCTTGTTCGACTCTTTATCGATGAGATTGATTTAGTAAGGAGGTCGCTTTCTGTTTGCATGTGTTGATTTAACCTTGATATTGATCCAATTGAGCTGGAGTTTGATGGAAGTTGTCGATAGTCGAAATTTGAGACACTGGTATTTAGATCATTTACTAAATCAGGTGATAAGTCTAGTTTTGGTTTTTGTGTCAGCAATTCTGGAGTTTGAAGAATAGTTTGAGCTGCTTTTGTCGTTGATGGTTGTGGACTTGCTAATTCTTTATATTCTGTCTTATGTGATAATGACTTGCTAGAGCTGCTCGACTTACTGGATCTTGAAGAAAGTTTTTCATGATCACTCTTGATCTTCTTTGAATTTGGTTCATTGTCTTTGGATTCAACATCCTCACGACTACGTTTATGTGATTTAGACGAAGATGAACTTTTATGGTGCTTATTTTCAGATGTTTTGCTCTTCTTATTCTCTTTATCTTTGCTACGCTCATTAGTTGAACTTAATTGTTTTGATGAGCTTGAATGGTGACGGCTTGATGATGAAGAACTTTTTGATTTTTTGTGGCTTTCCGATGATTGCTTTTCAGACTTCTTTGAGTCATGCTTACGAGGTGGTTGAGGAGCTACAAACTTGTTAACTTCTCCGTTCTTTGTTGAATTGTTATTATTCTTCATAGTTGCTGGATTTTATTCTTAAAAGTTTTTAAGTTGAATAAATTTCTGATGTTTTCTAAATGTTTAGATGTATTTGATCTCTTTCGATAGAAAACAGAATGATTGTTTGTTCTAAATTTCTTCAGGTTCTTATACTATTTTAGTTGAATCTCAATACAAATTATTTCGAAATTTACAGGTAGATTGCTCAACAGTTGAAGATAAAAATAAAAATAATCTCATTGTGCAATTCTCATAAGCTTAAACTTATTATCAAATCATGTACCAAATTAAAACACTTTCCATAGTTTTGAAAATACACGAGAGTAAAACCAATTCCAAAAAGTTAAGAATTTAGATTTGTAAAACTGTTGCTACCCTAATAATAATGTGTGAAGGATCCAGCCTTTTTGAAAAGGGGGGCACTGCGATTCAATTTGTATAGACTTACAGTTTATAGTCAATTTAATTCTTCAATTAAAAATTTAAACCTCATGCACGCTAATGTTCAGATTTATGTACAAATGAATGCAGTCTTACTTCCATTTCGAAGCATAAAAAAGTAAATCATTTAATTTTTATTACTATTCCAATAGTACACCAGCGTGTATTAATTATTTTCTCTTTCAACCCAGCACCACAAAAAAAAAAAAAATTAACCATGTTAATTAAAAAATTTCATGTCTTTACATAAATCATACAGCTTGAAAAAAATTATTCTTTATTTCACCTTTTTACTAATAAGCAACTCATCACGATTCTGTTGGCCATGAAATTCAAGAATATTATGAACAAGTAATATGAAATAGCAGAAGAACATCGATCGATAGAGAAGAAGGGAAAAAAATTCAACCTTAAATTAGGTCAGCAATTATAAAACTTTATGTTCAACATAAAACTCAACGTTATGGTTTCCATAGAGAAATTTCTACTGTGGTTTTTGTGGCGGGTCCATAAATAATAAACGAATAATTTACTCCGACTGAGAAATAGCAGTTTACAAAGTTGCTATCATGGAAGATATGCAAATGAAAGTGACATTGTTGAAACATAAACGAGTCATTTGATGATCTCAGCTACATATGAATGCAGTTAGATTATTGACAAGGTTAAGCTTGAGATAGAACTTGAATGGGTTTACATTATGTCATATGAAGCGGATTTCTAGTCTAAATCATTCATTGCTTCCGTATTTTCTAATTACTTTCAGACATTTTACCAGATTTAACCTCATTTCAAATCCTCAATATTCCAAAAGACCCTACAATATTCAAATAACTCCATTTATCTCTCGGGACTGTCTGGCAAAGTCACTTATTTCCTTAATTTCTCATGACTTTGAAACTCATTAAGTCATATGAGCGAATGATTTCATTAAAAAAGGGCTGGGTTTCACAGTCAACAATAATAAATTTGCATAATAAAAGAGTGACATAGTAAATTTGTTCAAACGAAATGCTTGAGCTGTGCAAAAGAGCATCCGTCACTCATCATGAATGCAATGTCACACACATGTTATGATGTTCCATTTGGAAGATCTTAGAATGTAGAAATCATATAGTGTGAGAAAGTTTGAGGTTCATTTAAGATTTTTATGCGAAAAGGAACAGAAAAATGAGTCGTAACATTTTAGATTAGAGTTTTTGGGGGTCGATCAAGGTTTATAAACCTAGATTGTTTATCAGAAAGGTTCCTTATATTCCCTAATAATTGATGTACTCCTAGTAAGAACATAAGCAGAACACTTTCGTGTTACAAACTGTGTCTCATTTGTCAAGCCCGATTTCCTGTCAAATACCAGTTACATCTTACAGAAAAGTGAATTAAAATTGAAATTGATACAATTTCATAAATGTGCATGCAATGTCTGCTGTCAGTCGTGTATAAACACACATACGGGTTTGTGGTTTACTGAAAACTTTTATTTTAGTTGAATTAGCAACGAAAACAATATCATTTACACACATACATTATTTTTACAAAATACAGCAGTAGCATTTCATGATTAATTATTAACTGCACGAAACACTCATTTTTCAGTTCAATGAACCCAATGGGACTAAGGATTGCATTTTACTTTGCATATCCACATGCCAGTTCTAAGAATAAGTTTAATCGATATTCATGTTTACATGAGGATTACATTACAATTTTTATAGACTGAAACTTTCTTTCACATGTATTTTATGGAGCATGGCCTGAAATCGGAAGCTCTTGCCTTAACCATAAGATTTTTATCGACTCTACTGACATAAATTCTTACACTTGCTTCTGTGTGAGTTTATTATTATATACCTTTTTTTACAGAATAGACAACGCGATATAGACTAAAGACAGGAAGGAGAAATGCTATCGATTGTTCTATGAATAGACAAAATTATTAGACAATTCTATTAATGCGACGAAGTGATTTGCTACCAGATTGTTTACAATTTATGACCCATTTCTGAAGAACTAAATGTCAGCAGTTCTTTGGCTTTAAATGAAAATAAGGAAATGTTTTACTCACTTTAGTTCGATATGCAATTGAAATTTAAGTGGATGTTTACTTTTCTCTTAAAGGCGGAAATATTTATTTTCTAGAAGAACATGAAGCAACTGATCGACGTGATTTTATGGATATAAAAAAAAATTTAAAACCAAGAATTAATTTTAATATTATGACTAGTTTTTGCATATGTGACACATATTTTTATTTCTAGGGAACTTGGCAAGGCTTGTTGGATTTCCCTTAGAAAAACTTACTACATATAATTTATGAAAAGCTTATTTTACCATATAACAAGCCTTTCATATCCAATAATTTAAATTATACTAATCAAATCCATTCACATACTAGTCTAGATGCCCTCGTTCTCATTTTAAAAAAAATTTCACAATGACCTCATCCAATCGACGCCATGTCCTGCAGTAAGCCACAAAATTTGTTAATACCACATGAAGCCAATGTAAGGACAACCAAAATATTTACATTATCACCATGTGTGCCAATCAAAATCATTTTCAACACCCTCTTCTGCAGTAGCTACAAATAACATGTCAAAATATTGACAAATCGTGAAATCATCACTACACAAAGTCTTATTACTAATAGCACAATCTAACTGTGCACAAAAAAAAATTCATTCAGACTTTCGCCACGATTTTCAGCGAGAAGCAATAATAATGAACATGTCAAACTAAATTAATTTATTATTTGTTCTACAACCACGGCGTGTCTCATACTTAATGAATATGATGAATGAGCTTTTTATTTTTAATGGTCAATTACCTACCTGCGTAGCTGAATAGCGAATAAAATGAAGACGTGATTTACATTGAAAGTTGAGAGTGATGTCAGACGATTTTGAAGGGCTATGACGCTTTGGGATGTATTTTATGGTAATTAGTTGGGATGTCATAAGTAGTCGTTCATAAATAATGTATTTAGGGAAGGATTAGAGAAGGAAGGGGGTTTGTGTTTATTACCATCATTTATAAGAAAACCTCAAAATTTTCAGAAATATAAACCTTCAATCTCCAAGTCAATACTCAGCTATGAGTCACGGGCATCATCTGCTCTTGTCACTTAAACTGAGCCCTAATAACTCATTAAATTGAATTATTTGTCTCATAACTAAAATTATTTCACAATTTTTCACTGTAAAATACCTTCATTAATAATAGACATTTCTCAAAAAGACATCTTGTAAGCAGGAAATTCAAGCGAAAAAAATACTTTTTCACCTCTAAAAATAAAAATATTCTTCTCGTCATTTTATATTCTGTAAAAATGCATACAAAATTCCTTACACGAGGCGAGCAATAAAATAAAAATAAATAAGACAAAAAGTGCAATGTGTCTCGAGTGTGAGGTGACGTAATGTCTATGACTGTACGGTGCTAAAAATTAATTCAAGAAAAATCGTTTTATCTTTGCTTCCAATGACTTTTTTGTTTTATTTTCTCTTGACAAACAGCTGAAGTCATATTTAATGTGATGAGTTCATACTCATTTTTGGCAGTGCATGAATGAATAAATGAAATAGGAGCGAATGTGTAAAAGTTATGGATATAATGGCTGATTGTTTTATGTGATATAAGCGCATTTTTTGGCAAATATTTGAGGTTATATTTGGAATTTTTATTATAAAATTTATATTTGCCATACAAGTCTTAAAGGGGTTGTCCAGATATGATGTAACTCGATGATCAAAAGAGGCAAAAATGATTAGAATTGTAAATGAGTCCAATGTTTTGCGTGAAGGGTTGGTAAAGAGATAGTGACATAAATTACTAATGATCCCTAAGAAAGCATTCATTTATGTGATTAAATAAGGCATAAAAATTCCGTAGACATTGCTAAATTTACGATCCATCAAAATATGGACACAAGCTCACAAACTGTTCAATAAATCAAGCTACAAATGACTCATACCTCCTTCTCGTATTTGTTTATAACATTTGATTTGGTAGATTAGCGTTAATAGTTCTTGTGACACATAAAAGAGAGTAGCAAGAAAAATTTGGCAGTCAAAAATCGCTGACCTTGAAAAGTGCAAAACAAAAAGATTAAAGAAAATCATCTTGCTGTGTTGCTGTCAGCTTCCGATTTTATTTTTTCTTCACTCTCGCATTAAATTTGGGTCAGAAACATTTTTTTACTACTTGCTACACATGAATCCCCAGACCTGTGATACTTGGCAGCAAATGAATTTTTTTTATATAAAAAGTTATCAAAAGAATTTGAAAATTGTGAATTATTTTTATAGGTCGACATTCTGGTGCCACTTTTTCTAGCTGCTGCACATTCAACTACGGAAATGGTATGTGCGATGATTTTTTTTTGCACAGATATATGCTGTATGACCTTTATTGTTACACATAGTTGAGTTTTGAGTGAGTTTTGCTATGGGTCTGTTTATTGGTTGCGTCATCTCTTTTAAAAAATGTTTTTCTTCTTGTATTGAGTGCCAAGCAGCTTCAGACCCCCGTCTCCTCAAATGTTTGACGTCATATTCTCAACGAAAAGTTTTTAAATTAAATTCACAAAGAATAAGTTATTAGCGAGGATAATAATACCCGGAGAGCACAAGTCGGATAATCGAGACGAAATCCTACGCAAGGAAAATATCACGGCGACTTTAGGGCAAATTTTTCGTCATGACGAGAAATTCGCCCTTAGATCGTAACCACGTCGTCCTAGCGTAGGATTTCATCTCGATTATCCGACTTGTGCTACTCGGGATAAAAGCTACATGCACTTAGTGCATTACCATATAAGGACATTCATAATTTGCAATTAAAACAAGAAATTTTCCAAGCACCTTTCATGACCTTCAAACTACATCATAATCCTAACACTGCTACTGCACAAATTCCTCATAATTGCTTTAATAAACATAACAGCACTGTGTAAATTTACAAAGAAGGTGGCAGCTGCAAATAAATCATCACAATATGCAAGTAGAAATAAAAATGGAAATGATGCAATCTTTTGCAGAAAAAGAAAAATTGTTTTAATTGCTTTAAAATTAACAATAAAATGAAACGAATTTCAAGGGAATTTTATATTGGAAAATGTAAAAAAAATATAAAGGCGGTGGACTCTCTGATCACATTTTACTAAAGTCTGCTGCCGTCTGCTGGTGTGCTTCACAAAATTATTTAAACAGCTACAAAATTAGTGTCTGAACCTCAAATAAATATTAACGGAAACAAATTTTTATTAAAAGTGCATTTTTATGTTCAAACATACTTAACAGCACATTCAAGTCCATATGAAATGACTACTGTTGGGTGCAGTTCATATTTACATGCTCAAGCAAATTCATTTAATTTAATTAAAATGCAATTAAGTCACCTTTTTTGGCATTGAAATGAAGTATGTTTCTAAACATCAACTAGATTCCCGTTTCCAGCTTATCCAGCATTAATTCAAAAGAGCATTAAAAGAAGAAAACCGACTAGCAGTGAGAAATTTGCGGTAATTGAGAAGACATGAAGATGAAAGGCGTATCATGAACCGCAATCAAGTAAAGACACTTATGACAGCATTCTTGAAGATTTTTGTTCCCATTCAATTGAGATTGATGCGTTAAATTGACTCATATGCAAGCCTCTTTTATCAAGTTAATTGAGTTATTATGGATTGCTGAACGAGTAGGCATGAAATGACTAGATGAGTGAATGAAAAGATTTTTAATTTTGATGATCATTATTGAAAGTGAATTGAAATGAATGACTGATAAATTCACGTCGAAAGTGTGGGAAGTAACTTTAATCTGATTCTATCGTTCTTCATCAAAGCTCTTTTCATACTTCAGTCAGTAAATTGAGTGAAATTACAATTGTTATTATTTTTAATTGTAGCTTGTAAAATCTAGTAATATCATTATTGTATGTGCGTAATCGTGGATATCCCCGAACTTTAATATTCATTAATTTTACTATTTTATACTATAAAATATTTTAAATAGGAAAATAAATCTCATCGATGAAGTTCTTAGTGTTAAAAATTTCAACTTTATGTCTTCTTCTGTTAAGTTTTAAAGTAAATGGAAGTGAATTTAGTATTTTAAGTATTGACAAATGTAAAGGACATGAAAATTATTTAATTATTGAGCAATGTGAAGCAGGTGGAAATATTATTAACGCGAAAGCAAGATTTATATCAACGATTGATTCAATAATTGTAAGCCATAGCTGTCGAACATTTTTATTTGAATGACAAACCACTGAATCTCCTTCTTTTAGATACACAAAGAGTTTTACAGAAAAACATCAGACCACAAATATCAAAGAATTTTTAAGAATCTACCTCCAATTGACTGGTGCAAAATATGTTCATCAAAGTCTCAATCAGCTGGTGCTCCTGGCTAAGTCAAAATTTCCAGAATTTGTCAAACCATGTCCATGGAAACCTTTCGATCTTATCAAAGTAAATATGACATTGCTTGATAATAAACTCCTGGATTTTATGCCAACTGGAGTTTTTCGATTTAAGGTTATTGCTAGGAATAAGGGAAACGAGACTTTGTTTGAAATCACTGTCGTTTTTGAACTGTTTTAAAAGTTTCAATAAAATTAAAATTTTATAGCTTTCAAAATTCAAAAAAAAAAATGAAACGAAAAAACTAAATTTCTGAACTTCCTGTCCAAATTTTAAATCATTTTCTAAATTATTTTAACCTAAATTGGTTTAATTGGCATAAAAGCTCTTAAGTGAAAACTAAACGTAGCGTCAGAACGCAATTTCAGTACCGAGAATGACGATTGCTTTTTTGATGTTTTGCTGCATGAGCTTTTTGATTTTGGTTTCATCAGAAGTGACATATGAAATTCAAGAATTAGAAAAATGTTACGGAAATGAAACATTTGTGAGGATTGAGCTTTGCAGTTACACAGATAATTTCTTTGTGCATATAAAAGCACATTTGCTAGTTTCTTTAGATTCAATTGTGGTAAGGATGCTTGAAGAATCAAAGAGTACTCAGTAGGGTTTTCAATCCCGGGATCCCGGATCCCGGGATCCCGGGATCCCGCGTTTTTTTTGGTCCCGCAATCCCGGGATTGAAACCAGCTTCAATCCCGGGATTACGGGATTGAGTTAGTAGTTAAAAATTTTTTAAAAAATTCTTAAATTTTTTAAAAAATTCTTAAATTTTGTAAAATAATTCGTTCGCAAGAAATACAAAAAATTCAAAATCATTGAAATTTTGATGTATTGCTTTTAAAAACTACAAAACACTACTGACGTGCACGATACTCACTGACATTTTGTTAATATGCCTCATAACAAAAAAATGTATGTAAGTGACGATTTGTTTTTCTTAATTTTATTTTTAAAACTTAAAAATTACTGATTTCACATATTTTAACAACTCACTTCCTAAAGTAAAGCAGTTGCTAAAAAATCACTGCGATTAAGCGTAACTAACGTCCGATTTTCAGGAATTTTGTTAAATTTTCGTTATTGTTTATTGATGTTTCATGAAATGTATTTTTAAGATCAGAAATTTTACTCTGTTATATATGAATTAACAAAAATTTTTAAATTATTGTGGTAAAAACCTTAAATGAACAAAATGGAGTTTTAAATTTTTAAACGGTTTAATTTTTTTGAATTTTTGTTACGCGATTTGTTTGTTTACAAAAACAAATGAAAATGTAATTTGAAAATTCACGAAAATATCACTCAATACTTTGATACAAGATATATAGATGGGCTCATACAGAGTATACTTGACCATACTCGACCATACTATTTTTTGTGTACTTATACAAACAAAAATTTTTAAAATTTTCTATTTTCAAGTTTTCATTTAAATATCGACAGATGCAACAACATTTGTCTTAAGTCAGTTTCTTTAAATTATAGCAAAGCATTTGCAATACTCCTGTATCAACAAAACTTAACAGAAAGTTGAAAATTTTGCAAAACAAAAATTGAAAATTTTCTTTTATAGTGTTAGTGTTTTTAGAAAATTCAAATTTTTGACGTTTAAAAACTGCGATATTTTTGTATGAGCACATCTATATATCTTGCTTTGATATAAAATAAGAATTTTTCTCTCAAACGAAGATTTTATGTATTATTTATTGAAAATTTTAATAATCTCTTAATCCCGGGATTCCCCGGGATCCCGGGATCGAGAATTTTCAATCCCGTAATCCCGGGATTGAAAATTTGGACCGGGATTGAAAACCCTAGTACTCAGTATATAGTAATTTTAGGTACGAGTAAGTCTCTTCAAGAAAGACTCGAATGGGAAGTTTCGTGAACTTTTCAATAATCCATCAATTGAGTGGTGTGAAGTAATGGGAGTGAAATCATCGGCATCCATAAAAGCAACAAGTTTTATGATGAAACTTTCAAGCTTTTTCTTCAAATCAAGGTTTCCAGAATTTTTCAGAAAATGTCCATTTAAGCCATTTACAGTTGATAGATCAAACATCACAATGGATAGCAGAATTATTGCTATGATTCCGACTGGCGTCTATCGAGTGAGGATAGCAATTAAGTACAAAAATAATGATATGATCTTTGATATGGTCATTTTGGCAAATGTATTGTAAAATGCAAAATTTATAACTTCCATTATAAAATTTACAGTATTTAAAATTTGATCGTGAACTTAATTTTCTGAAAATTGGTTTAATTTTATTTAATAATTAAATCTATGTCCAAAAATTTATTGTTCATACCCAAGCACTTTAAAGTCATGAAACATTTGCTGCTAATTTTTTGGATATTCTCCATAATTTTATTCACATTCCAATTTGAGTTTCAAATTCATGATTGGCAGTGGCTTACTATCCATGAAGATTATGTTAAATTAGATCATGCAGTGGTTTATGAAGGAAATATGTTTAGTGTTAAAGCTAGTTTGATAAAGTCATTAGACCACATTACTGTAAGTTGATTAATTAAAAGAACGTTTGGATTTAAAATGACTTTAATCAATTACACCAATGACATTCTATAATTAGTTTGGGAACGAATCACTGCTGCATAAATTAAAAATTCTAATGAAACTCAAACCATAACTATTTTACAGGTAATCACTCACTATTATGTTCGAGATTCAAAAAATAAGTTTCGTGAGATTTTCAAAAACATGCCAACATTTGAATGGTGTAAGCTAATGAAGAGTGGATCAAAATTTTCATCAAATATTCTTGCTAAAGTCACAATTATGTTTATGAAGAAAATTTATCCTGATTTTGTTCGACCATGTCCTTTTTTACCCATGACAATTCAAGTGCATAATTTTACTGTTCCACACATTTTACTATCTTTCATGTCTACTGCTGATTACCGTGTTACGTCAATAATGCGGTACAAAAATGGAGATATAATTTTCAATTCTTCTGTTATTTTAAGGTTTTCATGATTTGTAGAAAAATTATGAATAAATTATTACTTTTCGGTTTGAAAATTTCAACTAAAATTATAATTTTTTTAATTTCAGCTAGAAGTTGTCTAAACAATTAGTAGTTTTTACACAAAAAAAAAATGGAACTTAAATTAAAAATTGGACTTAGAATTTAAAACTATTTTGTCATTTAAACAGCTCAGAACAATGAAATATTTAATTCTAATTTATTCGATTTTTTGTCTGATTTTTATGTCAATTCAAATCGACTTTCATATCATAAAATGGGAAAGATTTATAACCAACGAAAACTATGTTCACTTAGAAACTGCAGCTGTATTAGATGGAAATAGATTTACTGTAAAATTACAAACAACAAAGACAATAGATTATACAGGAGTAGGTTGTCTGTGATTAAGCATACAATCAATTTAATATCAAATATTTTTCGTTTTAGGTACGAGTACGATTCTTCATGAAAGACTCAAAAAATGAATTTCGAGAGCTTTATAAAAACTTTCCTGGTTTTGAATGGTGTGGATTAATGAAGACTGTGTCTAAATATTCATCAAACATTCTAGCTAAGAGTGCAATTATATTCATGAAAAAAATAGCTCCAGAACTTATTCGACCATGTCCTTATTCGCCTTTTAGAATAGAAAAACTGAACATTACTGTGCCTAATGTGATTATTGCGATGGTTCCTACTGGGGACTACCGAATCACACTTATATTGAGGTATAAAAATGGAGATGTTTTCTATAATTCTTCAGCTGTCATTAGAGTTGAGTTTTAAAGGCGATAAGCAACGAAAAAGTCCAAAAGTAGTCTGGCCTTTACTGTAGCTTTTTACTCGTTCTTAATTGCCGTTAAACTCGGTTATAGCTAAATTAGAAGTAAATTAGAAAACGATTTAAATCCAAAACATTTTTCAAATTTAAGTCGATATTATTATCTTAATCACAAGCTATTTTAGATAATTATTCGAGACTTAGTCTAATATCACCTAAAATAATCATATCAGTGATCAATCCTAATCTATCTTTTGAATAAACATGAAATTAATTTTTATAATATTTTTTATTTCTTTAAAAATATTTACAACATTTCAAATAGATTCAAAAATTGTCGAATGGGAAACCTTTAATCTAAATGATGACTATATCTTGCTGGATCATGCAACAAAATATAATGGAATAACTTTCAACATAAAGGCAAGATCAGTGAAAGTTATTGACAGTGCAGTTGTAAGAAGTTAAATTAATTTTCCATATTATATTCCCAGAGCTCGAAGTCGACTTAAGTTGACTCGAAAAATTGAAGTCAATTCGAGAAAAGTTGAGACGACTTGGTTTTGAGCCGAGTCGAGTCAACTTGAGTCGAATCGAACCCTATCAACTTCGAGCTCTGTATAATCCTAACAATTAATATTCAATCTTTTAGGTTAAAATCAAAATTTTCAAAAAAGATAACAAAAACAAATTTCGGCAACTCTACAAAAAGTTTCCAGAATTCGACTGGTGCGATTTGATGAAAACTGCATCGAAATATTCTTCAAATATTTTAGCGAAATTCGCAATCATATTTGCCAAGAGAATGGTTCCTGAATTTATACAACAATGTCCGTTTCCTCCGCTCCAATTATCTAGAAAAAATCAATCACTTCCATATAATTTTATGTCTATGATACCTCTGGGATTATATCGTGTAAAATTTATTATGGCAAGCAAGAATGGAGTTGTAATATTTAATATTTCTGCAACTGGGGAAGTTTGGTAAAAAATTCAAATTTATTTTTTGTTTAAATATTTCTCAATAAAAATTGTCTTTATTTTTGAAAATGGCACTAAACAATCGGAGGAAGTATGTAATTTAGATAACAGTATGACAAACAATTATAATTGTGAACCAAAAATAGCAAAAAAACTAAGTTATTCTTCATTATAAATATAGATTGTTGATAAATCATCATTTGATCTTTTGTATCCATGAAGTCAACATTGCTGATTATTGTTCCAAATTTTCTAATACTTCTTACAGTACAAACAGACTTTCGAGTGACTGAATTTGAAGCATTTGATTCCGATGAAAGATATATTTATATAGAATATGGAACTATGATGAATGGTGTAATATTCAACTTTAAGTTTAGAACTCTAGAAATTATCAATGATGTTATTGTAAGTAGCTTTCCCAGTTGGATCTCAATTCATTTTTAAAGTTAATCATTAATTTCAGGTCAAAGTTCGTTTTTTTGTCAAAAATTCCCAAGACGATTATCATGAAATTTTCAAAAAATTTCCCGCAATTGATTGGTGTAAAGCCATGAAAACAGCATCTTCATATTCATCAAATTTTGTTGCCAAAAGTCTTTTATTATTTTGTAAAAAGCTAGCACCAGAATTGATGCGAAGTTGTCCTTTTCCAGTGATAAATTTTGAAAAAAGAAATGTAACAGTTCCAAATGTAGTTCTTTCTTTAGTTCCAGTTGGAGTTTATCGTATTATGCTAGCATTTAAGAAGAAGAATGGAGGTGTAATGTTTAATTCGTCATTAATTGTTCATGTGTTTTAGACTTCTAATAAAATGTAGGGTCATCATTTGGACTCTTCTTACTATTCCGGTTTAAAAGGAAGAATTGTTATAAAATGTTATCTAAGATGTTTGAGTTATGGAATCATAGGATTGATTAGATGGATAAAATTAATGAAATGAAAGGTAAAAATAAAATAATTGAAAAAAAAAATAATCTGCGTCATTTCCTTCAATTATTTTATTTTAAAACATGCATGAATAAATTTGGAAATTTTTTTTTAAAAATAATAATAATAGGAATAATTTGTAAATTCAACCCACAAAACCAAAGATTTCATACCTTAGTGGATTTCTGTAGCTATTTCTGATTCCTCATATAAGATAAGACTAGAAAAAGCTCTGGAAATTGGTCGAAGTCCCTTGCTTTCCATATATTAAAATGTTTCCTACCTGATGCAACCCCTCAATGTTCCCTAATATGATCAACATCATACATGAACGACCCTGTTGACTTTATTTTAAGTAACAATTTTTCAAAGTAATTAAAATTTAACTATCACTAGTTGACTGATAAAAATGCAAAAATAAAGTCACAATCAAAAATGAAGCTGAATTTCATAGTTGTTCTCGTATTTTCCTTCATTTTTTTGGCAATGGGTGTTGGCTATAAAATTCGTAAAATGGAAAAATGTGCTGGAAATAACAAGCATATTTCAGTTGAAAAATGTTTCGTCATTGATGAAACTTTGTTAAATTTAAAAATAAATGTGATTGTAGGTTTAGACTATTCTCTGGTAAGAATTTTCAGTTTTAAGTCATGAAATTCAAATATTTGAGGTAATTAAAATTTTCCTAAATATTAAGTTTCTTTTTTCCATAATTTTAGCAATTTTTTTAAAGCTAGTTTTAATTTTGATGATGCTTATTTTCCAAATTTTCAGTTTAAATTGAGCGTTTTTAAGAAAAATAATGACGGAGAGTTTAAAGAATTGTTTAAAAATTTACCAGCACTGAATTGGTGCAAAGTCATGGACGGAACATCAAAATATGCATCAAACTTTCTCATGAAGATTGTAATGGTGCTTTACAAGACAAAATTTCCAGAATTTTTTCAGCGTTGTCCATTTGGTCCGATGGTTGTTGAAAAAATTAATATGACGATTGAAAATAAGTTGATTGTAATGATGCCAACTGGACTTTATCGAATTACTTTTACATTTAAATATAAGAATGGAGAAATGATGTTTGACCAATCGTTTTTAATTGAAATTTTGTGATTATTACAATTGCTAATTTTTCACCAATTTTTAATCTCCAATTATATTAGCTCTAAATTCACAAATATTAAAAAATTGTAAAATTTTTGATATCGCAAAAAAATGAATAAATCCCAAAATTTCCTAATTATTCTAAATATTTGATTATCTTAGAACTGATGCAGGAAATATTTTGTAAATTTTCTTTGCAAAAATGTTAAATTTTACAAAATATGGTAAATGCCAAATAAATCTAAAGCATGAAGGTACAATTTACTGCATATTTTGTGTTCTTATTTATATCCATTTCAAATGAGGTTGGCTACAAAATCTCAAAAATTGAGAAATGTATTGGAAATGACAAGCAAATTTCGGTTGAAAAATGCTTCGTTATTGATGATTATTTGCTGAATTTGCGAGTAAATTTTCTTATTGGACTTGACTATTCTGTAGTAAGAAAATGGAATTCAACTTAATTTGAGTTTTTTATAAAAAAAAAATCTTTATTCAAATTTTAGTACAAAATTAGCATTTTCAAGAAAGATTCCAACAATGAATTTCGAGAACTATTCAAAAATTTACCTCCAATGAATTGGTGTAAAATCATGGACGGAACTTCAAAGTATGCTTCAAACTTCTTCGTCAAAATCTCAATTTTGTTAAATAAATCAAAACTTCCTGAACTAATTCAAAAATGTCCTCTTGGTCCATTGATTCTGGAAAAGGTGAATATGACAGTTGATAATAAACTAGTCGCAATGTTTCCAACTGGCATTTACCGCTTCACACTATCATGCAAATATAAAAGTGGAGAAATTATGTTTTTTATTTCTCTAATTATTGAGTTGTATTGAATCTTATTGCCAGTGATAAAATGAGCTTTCTAAGCAGAGGATCCTACATTAAATACATTACAAACTGTAAAGATAAACAATCTAAAAATATAATTCACCAGCCGCATAAAAAATATCTAAATCGATAAATCATAGAAAAGAAGTAAAAACATTTTCACATAATGACGTTGACTAGCTCACGAGATGATGACTAAATGATGAAAATAAAAGATTTTTTTACGCTTTTGTTTTTCTATTTATTACAAAGAATAGGAGTAGTAAAAAAATCTTATAAAAAATAGCTAGACAATAAACTTCCGGTTCAATAATGTAACGCGATTATTTCAATTTTATATTTCAGTTTTGAAGGTTTTAAGCTGCAATAACATTTGGGAATATGAAATAGACCCGAGGAGCATATAATTTTGGATGTTCAGATTGTTCTGGAGCTCACCAGTCACTTTAAGTTTTGACCATGAGTACGGAGCTGATAAATTACATTTTGACAATTTTTGATAGTTTTTGATCATTCCATCAGTTCAGCACCCTTGGTTCTGACACTCGAAACTGAACTCATTGGTATCAGCATCTCTAATAATCTGGCTCATTGATCATTAAATCTGTAATAATTCTGCAAAACTCATAAACTTTAAACCGCAAATTTATAATCCATCAAATCTACATCATAAACACAACTTGCATCCAAACTTTACATTCCATAAGAAATATTTATAGCCTGCTTTAGATTATAGAATATTTATTTAAGACTGTAAAACGAGAAGTTTTTATTTTCATCTTTCCTTCTTTTCGTTCCTTTGTTCCTCATTTATTGCATCATGTTGTGCTGTATTTCTGTAGGTCGTTCTTATCCCCACTGCAGTTGAAATATTTTTCAAAGCCAAATTCAATAAAATTACTGCAATTTCATCTTTTTATGGTTCGCCGACGAGTTTACGCCACTGGCATATAAACATCTTGATCTTTTATAATACTTTTAACTGGCAATGTTTCAATTGTTCCTTTTCTCAGGCCAATGTTCAGAGATTCATGCGTGTATGTTGGAATAAAAGATATAAAAAATAAGATTTTTTTATTACCACGATCGTGGCTTTTTTTCTTGTGGGCTATTGAGAATTGTTGGAAAGATTGTCATGCTTTTGAAGCAGTTTGTCAACTCTGCTCTTATTCCATATGTCAGCTTAATGGACCTCAAGTTTCAGAGTCACATAAAGGACGAATAAACCCAGATTCTCGTAAAACTGCGTTCAGTAGCTTCACATTCCACAAAAAACTTTCCAACTCACTTTTCTTATCAACAGGAATTTTTGTTTATGTTTCCCATAAAAATTAAGAATCACCCGGCAGCTAAATATCAATAAGTGTGATTACTTCTGCCGAATCTACATATTCATTCATTAATAAGTAGCACTAAATATGAGGAAGAGGAAGAGATAGCAAATTGAAGTGAAAAAGCAAATGAAACATTAAAAACTGTAAATTGAGCATCTTGATGACTAAAATTATGCTCAATTTATACAATGCACTTACATTCTCATTGCCTCTTTTCTTTTATGCTCTATGCGGAGCATTTGAACTCACTTAAGTAGCTGAAAGGCATCACATGAAGATTCTTTCTTACTTTTTTATCGCGACTTCTTTCATTGCATTTGCTTCCGCTCGCTCCTTCTGTTTCTAGTTTCTTCATTCTGCTTTTGATCTTATAAATGCAGATTTTATGTGATCATGTTGATGATGATGATGATGATGCTGTTAGGATTGTAGAATATTTTATGATACTTCCAGATGAGGCATTTTTTTATCAAGTTAAAATTTTATGTGAATTTATGCAATTTATTGCAAGTGGAATATAATGAACTCATAAATTATAATTATGGGAAGCATGTAGCTGCTTTATGAATCTAATGCATTAAACTTGATTTCATGATCGTAAACTTTGTACAGAATCATAAAATTCTGAATGCTAGTTGAGATTGGAAAGCTAATAATATTTAAGATTGCTCACTGTCTTCGTCCATCAATGGATTAATTTTGCAAAGCTCCGGTATGAATCAAAAGCAGAAATCCCCAAATTAATGAATATGTCGTATCTTAATATCAATTCGGTATTTTATGATATTTGTTTTTATTTAATATTTCATGATACTGTCACTCCTATCAGATATAGCTCAACTACACTAATCCGATTTATTTTTAAGCCTTTAAACTCATTGCGATATTTTAGTTTTATGGAATTTTTATCGATTTTTCTATTTTATTGTACGTTATCTACGTTTGCATGTCTTTTTTGGCAGACTTTATGGTTTGATAATTTTTCAGAATATTTCCGAAATTTATTCTAGACACACAGATGAGATGAATTAATAGATCTATTGAAATAAAGAAAATTCAGAGAAGATCATGGTCTGCAACATTCATTTCATCATCCTACGGTTCCATTTCTTTACATTCGCCGTATTTTCTAGCAATTTCTGTAATCACCCACCACAGTTACGGCAATCGGTATATTTTTATCAATGATATCAACTTTTTTTTTTCATTTTCGTTCATTGTTATTTGTACTTTATGACTTTAGCTTACGTCATTCGATGATTTCAGTTACATGCTGTGTATATACATTTTCTATGTAAGTAGTTTAAATGTAAAGGTCTGAAAAAATTAATTTATTTTTTTATCGCAAAGTAATGCCTTGAGTTGGGCAACGATAATACATGAAAAGTTTGTGGAACTAATCGAACGATTTATTAAAGCTCACGATGCATAAATTTTAATTACTTTAAACATGAATTTTGATTTGTTGCATTGTGAAATGAAGAAATTACTGATAATTTTATTAGGGTCAGTCATAAATTAAATTTTTTAAGGTCTTAATGGAGTTACAATTCATACTTTGAAGTCACCATCCCTTTTTAACAAATATTATTAAAATTACAGGATAAACGTAGCCACAAACATTTAGATAAGATAAGATTCGACCTTGACAAGCTAAAAATGAGCTCATACCAACAGCGGAAGCTGATTAATTTACAACGATTGTAGGTAAACAAGACACCAACAAAAAAAGTGAGAAAGGTAAACTTACAAGCATGTTTAAGTAGGCGGATGTTCAAGTGTACCTTACGTCTCTCATGTCTAGAGTATTGCTTTAATTAATGCTGTTAACAGAATGAAAAAGCCATTGGAATTACCTTGAAATAATTCGAACACTCGCGTTGCCACCTATAATGTAAATTTTGTGTCTGGAGCAGTGATTCTTGAACTGTGTGACGTGTACGCTTGTGTGTGAAGTGGATCTGAGTTGATTCTGAGATTTGAGGATTATATGATTCATAATAACTGAATTTAAGTCTATTTTTCATATTTTTTGTAAAAGTCTCATGTGACTCAGGTTAAGAACATCTGGTTCAAGTCAATAAGCAGCGAACACAATTAAAAATGCAATCAAGAATCGATTTTTATTATATTTAAAATAAAATATTTTATTTTCATCTTCTTTCTTGCGTCATTTTCTATAACTTAGCATTTAATTTAGGTATAAGAATTATAAATTATTTCCAAACTGAAAATTTAATTAATTATGTAAATCTTTTTTTATTATTTTCAAGCTATTACAATTAATGACAATCAGTAACAGTTATAATGTTTATTTCATATCCAATATTCTAAATTCGCTGTGTATGCATATGCGTATGTGTAAATCAGGGGCGTAGCCAGAAAATTTTTAAGGGGGGGGCCCATTTTCGAAAATTAAAAAAACTGTTATTTTGTATCCTTAAATCTATATTCATTCTTCATAAGTTTAAATATTTAATTCATTATTCATACATTAAATTTAATTTTTCGTGCTGATTTTGACATTTCTTTCATCACTTTCTCTACATTAACTGGTTCTTCTCTATAAATACTTAATAAAACAGTTATCAGATTTTCGTAGGGGGGGCCCGGGCCCCCTATGGCCCCCCCCTGGCTACGCCCCTGGTGTAAATCTGTAAGTATGTATATAGCTCATATCTATTTAATTTATGTAAGTATAATCAAAAGTTTTCTTCTTTTACATCTGCTTTGTGTTATAATAAATTTCATATTATTCAGTTTTCAAAGACACCAATGAAAGGCATTTTATTGGATTGCAACATATAAAGCAGTCATTTATTTTTATGCATTGATTGTTGAATTGAATTAATGAGTATGATGATTTTTTGAATTGATTGGTTTTTGGGGAATCTTTGCTGGATTCTTTCTTCGAAGGTTTTTAAGGTATACCCTGAGGGGTCATGTGCTGGATTCTAAAATGGACTCTTAAGTAATTTATGGATGCTCTAGTTGATTCTCTTGAATTGAGATAATCACAAGAGTTGTAGCTCTATTTCTGCAAGTTACAACCAGAGGTCGAAGCCGACATGAGTTCGCTCCGGTTCGCTAAAAAACCGATTCGATAACCGGTAAATTTGTATAAAATGTTGTACTTCACAAGTGGCAGCAGAAAAAAATCTATTCAAATTTGAATCGGTTTTTTAGCGAACCGGAGCGAACTCATGTCGGCTTCGACCTCTGGTTACAACTTAAGAAAATCTATCTGATCCATAAGTGTTAACCTTACAATGCCCCACATGATATACTTAATCAATTACAATTACAACAATCCAGCCAATCAAAAAACTGTATAAGATGATCTAATGAACCACATGCTAATAATAATCAAGCATCTAAATGGCAGTGGAATTGCATTTTTAATTTAATTCTCATGATATCAGTTAATTGATACGATTCACATTTCTATTGAACTTCTTATTATTTTATGACTTGATTGTTATTTTTATCAATGCACACCACTTTACTTCTTCATACTCAATTCATTACAAATCCAATTCAATTATCGTAAATTTCCAAGACCATAATTAATGATGAGAATTTCTGCTTGTTTACGCATTCCTTCCTTCTTCTTCTTTGATTTACTGTCAAATAACTTTTGCCTGATTTTTCTATTTCTTAATATTAAATGTTATTTTATTTTCACATGAACACTCGCGTGTCGTGTCGCATTTAGTTCCTAACCCTTCATAATTCTTCTTTATATATGGCAAAAAATATATAATATAAATTTACATGTTACTTCTTGGGACTAGCACTTAAATAGTATTTTTCTCTCTTTTTTTGCGTTAGTTTTTAACTTTTTTTTCCTTTCAATTAAAAATATTATTTGTTTATTTTTTTTTTCTTTGTTAAACAAAAAGAAAGTTCCTTTATTTCTTCTTTCATTTCCAAAAACAAACTACTAAGAACACAGCCGAATCATAAAAAATTATTTGTTTATTTATCGTATAAATTGTAAATGAAAGAAAAAAAAACATAATTTTTATATGCATTTTAGGAAAAGTGAAAGTAATGAAAAAACTATTGTGAAATCATCAAAGCGAAATGGTTCTGGCTAGAAAGATGATGAAATTGATTGCCTAGAAATAGAATCTTTTATTGTTTATCAACATTTCCTCATTCTTGCCGGTGTTTTATGTAATTTTAAATTTCTAGAACAAGCTTTTATTTGTTGGCTGGAAAATGGAACGACGTGCTCTAAATTTTGGATAATAAATTGCCTTGCTTCATAGTTTTTCAACAAAAATTCTATTTCAAACAAACTTTTTAAAAGAACATTCTTTAATGTCACAAAATAGTCATGCTCAAGCCACAGACATGAGCTTCATTTAATTTCAAATCCTAGCAAAATCCATTTCACTTCAAAAATCACAAAAAAACTTATATTTAAATGATACCTTAATGCTCAAAGTTCTAACTTAACAATTAAATGATGAACTTCATATTTTCTTCATAATGAATGTGTATGAAATAAGGAAGCTACCAATTTTATGCATACATAATTAATTGAATCAATAATTATAGTTTCTAATCCTAATCGTTGGTTTATCTTTTATTTTTATTTTATTTTGACTCCTTAAAGTAAAAGAGTTTTATAGCAAGTAAAGATTGTGGACGCTTTTCAGGAATTAATGCCATTTTGAGATTTTAGTCATCCAGACTTCAAACCTAGTTGTTGACAAGTTACCTTGAAAACTTCCACATCTTAAAATTGTTTGAATGAAAGTTTATGACTTTTTCCTTGCCAGGAAAATTAGTTTTTCAAATAATAAAATCAATCTTAAAGATATCATCGAAAATTAGAGGAACTTCATTGATGAAGATTAAGATTTTATTTCCCTAGATCCTCCCACAGCACTGCAGATTAAACTTCACTTTTACTTTCTTGATCGACTACAAAAAACAAATTGTCTGATGTCAATCTACAATCACCAACTTTCACAACTAGAGCTGTGAAATGACAGTGTCAGTGAATGTTTACCAAACACCTTTTAATTTGTGTCAAAACGTTTTATCCGATTCGATGCACCTGATATATAATTTAATTAATCATGTCAACTTGAATGGAATCGAAAATTTACTAATCACGTATTTTATTTTAATTATTTCACAGATTTGTGAGCGGTGGAATTTAAAGTGTGATAATATTTTGATGTTGTATAATTTAATGATTTTATGTGAATTAAAATATTTCTTAAAATTGAATATTTATGAAAATTCTATCAATTAATTTTGATTGGTGCTTTTAAGATGATCAGAAGCATAAAACTAATTTTATTTCAAATTTTTATTAAAAATCGGTTCTGAAGATTTTGATAAAATTGAGTTTAAAATGTTTCAATGGATATTAGATGAATTATGGATACAATATGAATGAAATTTGATCCTGAGAATGTGATTTTTATAGACATTCATGTGAATTTCACAAAAGTTTAAACTTCTTAGTTTTATTCCTCATTCACATCATAAAATTCGATCTCATATTTTACAAATTCTCGTCATATAAAAATATATTCAGATCAAATCGCAACTACAAATTAACATCCCATACTCTTTCTTATCTTCATCTCAAGTGTCATGAAATATTTTCTCATACTTATAAAATTCCTCAATCAATGAAATTCCATCATTTAAAATTTAATAAGAACATCATTCAACTAGAAAAGACTGGTATAGCTGATGATAATTTTAATGAACTATGTATGATTTACTAGAAAAATGTGTGACTGTCGGTATCACAAAAAAAAAGATAGATATAAAAAATGAATATTTCAACACATTTTCTCATATAAAAGAATTCATTTTTAATGGAAAAAAATTATCATACACAAAATCTCTCATTTCTTTTAACTTCCTTTCTTCTCGATCGATCACTTCAGTACAGCACAATACCACCCGCCCAAAGAAAACAAGAAATTATAGTCATCAACAAATAAATAAACGTAGAATAAAGAAATGATATGAAATTTTTGTTTAATACTCAAAAAGTAATCAAAAATATTTTGATGTCGATGCCTTTAATTTACAAGTCTTAAATCGGTGACAGCCTTGTCTAATGTATCCTTAAGTTGATTGTAAATATGATTTCTCCAATATATATTCTTATCAATCTCAATCTCAGCCAACTTTATGCTCTTCTCGATTGCGACGAGACCAAGCTTGTTTGTCTTCTCTGCGAATCGTTGGAAGTTCTCTTTGTGGTAATCTTTGTTCATGAATATCGTCACAGCGTCAACCATCTTTGAGATTGTTGAGAAACCATCACCGAAGCTAGTTTTGGGATGGAAAAAAATATTTTAGTGAATTTAATTTATTACGAACTAAATGATTAGCTAGAAATGAGACTTACTATTCAGAAATTTCTTTAATATTCGTGTACAAGAAATCATAAGCAATCTCAGCACCAGCAATGTTTCGAGCAACAGCTTGGAATGCTCGTGCACCATCTTGCTTTCTGATTGGCGAAGTAGGGGAAACAGTCATGTTGAGGTATCTGTGAATAATAAAATTACCAAATTTGTATTAAACGCACGTGAAGCGAATGAATTATTTCATGGCAATTTGTAATAGGATATAAATGAAATACCGAATTGCTGAGTAAAATTTAATTTTCATAGAAATGAGTCAGTTGTGTGACTTTTTGCAAATATGCAAATTTTTTGCTTGGCAATCAGCTTAGCATCAATTGAAACTTACTTTGAGAGCAACCATGTCTTCTGAGTGCATCCTAAAGCATCTAAAATAACCTCTTTTTCTGATGCATTTATGCTGTCTTCAAATCTCTTGAGTGCAAAATTCCATTCTTGCTCTCCGCCTTCACGTAGAGTTATGCAATAAATTGTGGATTTCAAGTTTGGTGGAATTCTAAATAAGCCGTGCGAAAATAAAATTTAAAGTTATACAAAAACCTCAAAATAACTAGAAATTCGAACTTACTTGTTGTTTGCTTTGTCAGCAATCCATTCACGGAATTTCAATTGAGCTGCGACAGTGCAACGATCAATGCCAAACTCACAAGCTAAATTAACAATTCGAGCACGATGAAGGAGATCAATGTCTGTGTCGTCTGGTAATTCTACAAATCCTACTTCATCGTAGACACTTCTCAAAATATATCTGATGACCCTTCTGTAGTTCTCAAATGCAGTTTCACGTCTAATCATATTTGTGACATATTCCAAACCATTCGCAAATGCCCAGAATGGAAGATATTCATATGGCGTTGTACGAAGAATGAGACCGAAAGTAATTGGAATATCATAGCCTGTCAAGTTTGCTCGTGCGAGTGCAAAACTGTCATCAATCAATTGTGCCCTTGTTATGTCTGAGAACTTCATTGAATTTTGAATTAAATTTTTCCATGAAAGTTTGTCATAATTGACTCGATAATAGCCTGTACGATTCACATTCACAAGGAACCATTCATTATCACCAACAATATTTTCAATGACTAATTCTTCATCTGTATTCGACATCCAATGCTCAGGGATTTCTGATCCAGTAGGACGACGACTTGATGCATGTGAAATTGGAATGAACCATTTTGTTGTGTCGGTTTCATTTAAATACGGCAAGTAGTATCGCTGTTGTGTCAAAACAATGTCAGTATCATTACGACTGACAGTCACGACAGGAAATCCGGCACTATCAACAGTCCATGAGTCCATAATCTCTTTGACACTAAAGCTATCCTGAAGAACTCTTTCCTTTCGTGCTGTTATAGTCATTGCTTCCCATAGATCATCTTGGACAGCATTTCCATATTCAAATTTCTTTAAATAATTCTGAAGACCCAGCCTGAATGTTTCTTCGCCGAGGAACCCTCTCATCATATTAATAATCAATGCTCCCTTTGAATACGAAATGGGATCGAAAACTCTTCGAATGTCCGACTTCGTGCGAACTTTAAATGAAATTGGTCGAGACGATGAGTCACAATCTTTTGGCATTGCCAATGCAAATTCAGCAATTGTTATTGTTTTAAAATAATCCCACTCAGATTTAATTGAATCTGTCGCGACATAATGCAAATATGTTGAGAAGCCTTCTTTCAGCCAGAGATCATCGTACCATTCCATTGTGACGAGATTGCCAAACCACTATATTTAGGCATTTGAGAAATGGCATGAATTTATTTTTGAATAAATAAAATGGAATTAGAATCGAAATGTATGTAAATTATTGGGTTTTTGAAGGCATTAAGAAGTTATTTTTTTAGGTGGGATTGAATGTAAATTCTACAATTTATATCAAAACTTACCTGATGAGCAACTTCATGGACTAAAGTTTTTGCAACTCGATGTAGTTGTGAGACTGATGAACTCTTCTTATCCTCTGGAACTAGCAACGCTGACTCTCTGAATGTGATGAGACCCCAATTCTGTATGAAAAGTAGAAATTAGCTCTAGAGTCACTAATGATCATTCAAACCATTCAAAACATACCTCCATTCCACTAAATCCAAAATCGGGAACAGCGACCATGTCAATTTTTGGTAATCGAAATTTAATGTCAAAGTATTTTTCAAAAAATGGCAGTGATGCGGCCGTGAGTTGATAAGAAAAGCTGTTCGAGCAAAAAATAAGTCATTCATTAATTTATCAATCATGATTGCCAAAATTAAATTTCCTACTTTGTCATGTTCTCATATTCCGGTTGTGCATACATCTTTATTTTCGGCAGTGATTCATCATTGTCATCCGATTCCATGCCAAGTTTGAGATCAGAAATATGAAAGGCAACGAGATAAGTTGACATCTTTGGTGTAATTTGAAAATTTTCGCGAATGAAGCCGTCTCGGACATTTCTTTGATGGATATGATATAAATTCAATTAAAGTTATAGAAATGATTGCAAATTTTGTGTTTTAACTTACTCGGTAGACTCAATTGGCATATTAGAGATGGAAATTCTCTTATTTGTCGGTCTTATTAAGCTAATTTTGAATGTAGCCTTTGCATATGGGCGATCGAGTGCTGGAAAAGCACGTCGTGCATCAATTGGTGAAAATTGAGTGCTAACAAATGAACTTGGTTCCTTTGTCTCCTCATTGATGAATGATCCCTTATAGAAACCAGTCAATGTACTTCCAAGTTTATTAGTGAAATTAAGCTGGACCGAAACATTCGTGGGCATGAATTTTGTCTCTTTTACATTTATCACATAGCTCTCATTTTTATTTCCATATTCACAAGTATAATCCAAAAATTGTTCAATATCTATCTTGTCACGACTGAAGAGCTTACAGTCTGTGATCTCGATGTCTGTTATATCCAAAATTATTGGCTTTACTTCTTTTACTTTTTCATCACGAATCATCCAAATATTTACATTACCCGTACTTGTAGCATTCTCTATGTGCGGTTCTAGTAATATACTGTAGAAAAAAGTTTGATGTAAATAAATTTATGAATTATTTTTAGACGTCTATTTTCATATTTCGTGGAAATTTTGTATTTTTGTGCTGATTTATTTGATTGATGGAGGAAGTGACGGATTGGCTTTGATTGGATTTTTTGGGGTTAGCAACTTGTTAATTTTTTCGTGACTTTTGTAATAAACTCTTAGTATTATGAAGAAGCCAGCAGTGATTGCTATACTTTTTAAGTAACAACTCTACTTCCATGATTAATTTCCAATTTTAATTGATTTTAAAAAATTACCAAGATGTCACATGAATCGATTAAAAGCTATAGCAAGCCCCCACATCCCAAATAAACTACTTTCCATAAATTATTCAGCAAATGCGTCTGTACATGCGCTTATATTACGTAAACACACAACAGACTGTTTATGCTGTTAATTCAACAAGATTTTATTTTCTTCTTCCTCTTAATTGCTTGTTTTATTTATTTTAATATTTGATTGCTAGTAAGTGAGATGAAGAATTATTGAATATCGAAAAAGGAAGAGCAAAGACTTATTTACAACGTGCGTTGGATGTAGTTTCGGCGGCTGTATCAAATTACATAATGGAAATACATTGAACTTAAAGTAGGAATTGAGAGTTTCTTGAATCTATTGAGATTTTTGTTAAGTGCCATAAGTAATTCACATGACTTGTTTCAATATTCAACCTGGATATTCGCAGAAAAGACCCAGAAACCAGAAGAAATTCAATCCACATTGTTTATATACTTTTTCTTTCAATGCTCCATCTCACATTTCATATTAAGCATAAACAATCAACCACAAAATTCTTCTGTTCACTTTCGTTTTGTTACTTCATTCAATTTCCTACTTACTCATAATGAACTGGAGTCCAACCGTCGGGAAATTCAATCTCATCCTCTATAACAATTGGATCATCGTTCTTAGCTTGATCGCTCAGCACACCATCACCGTTTGATTGAATTTCATAGCTGCCGCCATTAGGCGACGGATTCCACAGACTTCCTGTATGAACTTGTGTTTCTATGGATCCATTCGTGCTGTCTGTTATGCAGGTTCTGTTGTGAAGATATAAATAAATTAATAAAATTTCAATTTTCTGATGCCAAAAAACGAACGGGATTTGACATACTTTGGAATGCAAAGGAGATATGTCAGCAGGGCTGCAAGAATCATCATGATAATGAGCAGTAAGAAATATAAAAAGGCCCAAGTCTTTGTTACGTAGAATCCCTCTGGATTGTTATACTGATTTATGATGTACTTTTGACTGTTTTTGGTCTTCAATTGGCCACCTGCAAAGAATTAAATTTTTGGATGCTGTTAATTAATGTGTCATAAACTTTTTTGATGCAGAAGAAAATGCTTTTAAGCATACAGAACAAGAATAAATCAGCTAAAGATTGAATTCTTTCATGCAGAAATCGAATAAAAAGGAAATAAAGATAATTTGATATAGCATTCGGATTTTCGTTTTCTTCGAATTCTTGTGTCTCTTTTTGGATGTATTGTTTACACAAAGTCAGGGGCTTCAGCTGTGCAGTAGCTTGATGATCGATACCGATAAAAAAACGATCATCTCAAGCCTATTTATACAATAGCCCCCAACCTTATTTTTTGAGCTCTCATCTCAAAAAAACTTTCTGGACACAACTCTGGACAGACTTGTTGTGCATGTATGTAGTTGATTTATGCATAAAACCGTATGATTATTTCTTTAGTGTGTCAATAAAAAAAATCAAATATTCCGATGTAAAAACATGGCTTTTAAAGAAATTGACAAATATTGTATGAATCCATCATGAATCTTAATCAGCCAAAACAGCAATTTGCAACTACAGAAAAAAGTTTAAACAAATATTAACAATCATAATCGTTTTGCGTGCTTCAAATTGATAGTCGAATTTTATCGATGCAATATTTCAAACCCACAAATTTATTTTTTTTGTTCTTTTCTATATCAGCAAATAAAAAGTTTATTTTTATAACTCAATTGCTGATGACTTTTATTGGCAATAATCAATTTTGTGAACAGCAAAAAGATTTCTTATGAATGAAATTGAATTAAAATTGACAAAATTTTTGAACATTTCTTCCTAAATCCATCAATTTTTGATTAAAAGAAGACTAGAGGCATAATGCGCAAATGATGTTTGGCACAAAAATAATAATATACTGCTCATGATTGTAACTTGTTCATCCCAGAACTCGTAGTATTTTATTACCGTGTGGATGATCCCAAGAATTCAAAAGAAATCTGAGATGACCCTTATTTTAAGAAAAAATGCCGTAAAAATGTTTGAGTCTTTTAATGTGGATTTTCAATGTCGAAAAATTTGAAAGGCTTTAAATTATAACATAAATCTGGTAGTGCTTCATTATTTTATACCAATTCTCTTTCATCACAATCTTCGTTTTAATCCTTTGATTGATTTTATTTGCTTTTTGATCTCAATTTATTTTTTCATCCTTAATTTTTGTTTGTCAATTTATTTGAAATTCATTTTATGATTAGCTAGTGACAGAAGAGATTGCTTTTAAGTGAAATTGGCAATTTAATTTTTTTTATTAATCCTTTTAAATTCACTGTCATTAAATGTGTCAAAATTTAATTAAAAGTGATGGGATGTGATAACTGTTATGGTTCATTTAGTTATTTCTGTCACACAATTTAAAACTTTTTTATTTAATCCAAAATGATTTTATTAATTATTCAACATTAAAACCTTTAAATATTACCAAATTAAAGACATAAACTTTGTATGTATAATCAACGAAAATATTTCACTCAATCCGATTAAACGAGCTTCTGTTGATGAACTAAACTCATATCTGCAATACTTGAACGAATTTATACAACTTTTTAAAATTGTCAAGCAATAAACTGGTCGATAGTATACAGTTAAGTTTTATTACCATTTATCTCACACAATTCAATGGTGTAAATTATAAATGATGAGGTTTTTTGCTACTTCAGTATTCAGAACGGAGTTTTCTGATAAGGATGAGACGCTGTGTAAGTGAATTTTATTACTTTTTACCTTTTTAATAACCATTCAGAATGTTTTATTTCTGAATTAAACAATGCACAATAAAAATTAACCTTAGCTTTCAAAAGTGTAAACTTAAAATGCAAGATAACTTTAGTTATTGTTTTAAAATTGAATAAATACGAAATTTACCTGAAAATAAATTTCAGAAAGTGTTTTTTTTTGGAATCTTTGAATCAATGTCTATTGCAGAAATACATTTAGTATCCAAACATTAAGTTGATTCATATTTTTAAGAATCCGATTTGCATTTAAAATTTAAGTCTTTCTGATAAAACTTGAACAATAATATTTATCATGAACCTGTTTAACACATTTTCATTTTATTTTTCTTGATCTCAAAGCAACGATTCAAAATAAACATCTAAACAGTTTCGCAGACAAAATTCAGGTAGGTTTTGAACAAAGAGAAAGTTAAATCAACCATAGAACAATATACAACAATAAACAATTTTTTGAGGTGTGTAGTGAAATAATAAGGATTGTGATATGAATATCAAGCAACAGATACATAAAAAAAAATTCATTCAATAACGACAACTTGTTGTAACAATCAAATTGTAAATATAATCGTTCAATGTCAATAACCCAATACATAAAAGTGCGTATAGTAACCCATTGCCGAAAACTGTAGAACACTTAGCTATGTATGTGTTTATCTATTGTCATTCAATTGATGGCGTTACGAAATAGATTTTTTGTTGAATTGAAAACTATTTTTATTTACTCCCAATTAGCTACTATTGAATGCTTAGAAAATATTTGTACATGTAATTTTTCAGATTCTGACTAGCATGATTGATTTCAAGAAGATGATGGGCAATTTTGATGTCTCAATTTAAGTAAAGCTGATCAGAATTTTGATTATCATTGAGTATTGATACTATTGTTAGTTTTATTAGAGTCTTTTTACTTGAATACCAAAAAATTACTCAAATTGATACTTTGAGTGTTAATTGAGATCATAAAAAATTTTAATGTGAGTATTAAGTATAGTTTTCAAAACTGGGACCTAAATTCAGTTCCAAACTTAATCATTTCTAGCTTCGAATGTTAATTGAATATTACTGCAACCTTTGCAATAATTTTAAAATTTTCATTAAGCCACAAACTTTGGACTTTTCAGCTCCAAAACTTAACAATTTGAAGCTTAGAATCTAAATTGAATATTACTGCAACCTTTGCAATAATGATTAAATTTTCATTAAGCCACAAACTTTGGACTTTTCAGCTCCAAAACTTAACAATTTGAAGCTTAGAATCTAAATTGAATATTACTGCAACCTTTGCAAAAATTTTGAAATTTTCATTAAGTCACAAACTTTGAACTTTTCAGCTCCAAAACTTAACAATTTGAAGCTTAGAATCTAAATTGAATATTACTGCAACCTTTGCAATAATTTTAAATATTAAGTCGCAAACTTTGGACTTTTCAGCTCCAAAACTTAACAATTTGAAGCTTAAAATCTAAATTGAATATTACTGCAACCTTTGCAATAATTTTAAAACTTTTATTAAGCCACAAACTTTGGACTTTTCAGCTCCAAAACTTAACAATTTGAAGCTTAGAATCTAAATTGAATATTGCTGCAACCTTTGCAATAATTTTAAAATTTTCATTAAGCCACAAACTTTGGACTTTTCAGCTCCAAAACTTAACAATTTGAAGCTTAAAATCTAAATTGAATATTAATGCAACCTTTGCAATAATTTTGAAATTTTCATTAAGCTACAAACTTTGGACTTTTCAGCTCCAAAACTTAACAATTTGAAGCTTAGAATCTAAATTGAATATTACTGCAACCTTTGCAATAATTTTGAAATTTTCATTAAGCCACAAACTTTGGACTTTTCAGCTCCAAAACTTAACAATTTGAAGCTTAGAATCTAAATTGAATATTACTGCAACCTTTTCAATAATTTTAAAATTTTCATTAAGCCACAAACTTTGGACATTTCAGCTCCAAAACTTAACAATTTGAAGCATAGAATCTAAATTGAATATTACTGCAACCTTTGCAATAATTTTGAAATTTTCATTAAGCCACAAACTTTGGACTTTTCAGCTCCAAAACTTAACAATTTGAAGCTTAAAATCTAAATTGAATATTACTGCAACCTTTGCAATAATTTTGAAATTTTCATTAAGCCACAAACTTTGGACTTTTCAGCTCCAAAACTTAACAATTTGAAGCTTAAAATCTAAATTGAATATTAATGCAACCTTTGCAATAATTTTGAAATTTTCATTAAGCCACAAACTTTGGACTTTTCAGCTCCAAACTTAACAATTTGAAGCTTAGAACCTAAATTTAATATTACTGCAACCTTAGCAATAATTTTGAAATTTTCATTAAGCCACAAACTTTGGACTTTTCAGCTCCAAAACTTAACAATTTGAAGCATAAAATCTAAATTGAATATTACTGCAACCTTTGCAATAATTTTGAAATTTTCATTAAGCCACAAACTTTGGACTTTTCAGCTCCAAAACTTAACAATTTGAAGCTTAAAATCTAAATTGAATATTAATGCAACCTTTGCAATAATTTTGAAATTTTCATTAAGCCACAAACTTTGGACTTTTCAGCTCCAAAACTTAACAATTTGAAGCTTAAAATCTAAATTGAATATTACTGCAACCTTTGCAATAATTTTGAAATTTTCATTAAGCCACAAACTTTGGACTTTTCAGCTCCAAAACTTAACAATTTGAAGCTTAAAATCTAAATTGAATATTACTGCAACCTTTGCAATAATTTTGAAATTTTCATTAAGCCACAAACTTTGGACTTTTCAGCTCCAAAACTTAACAATTTGAAGCTTAAAATCTAAATTGAATATTAATGCAACCTTTGCAATAATTTTGAAATTTTCATTAAGCCACAAACTTTGGACTTTTCAGCTCCAAACTTAACAATTTGAAGCTTAGAACCTAAATTTAATATTACTGCAACCTTAGCAATAATTAAAAGTACCGGTCTGAAATCTCTAATTTTGAGCAATAGAGTTGAGATAAGATTAGGTCGAAACAACACTAATACTGGTCTTTTGGAAAATTTCAGGCATCACATCGAATTATCTTAACCCCCCTCCCTCTCCCTTCTCCCTGATTCCAAATCATAATTTTCATCATATTTGATTGGACCTCAACTATCATCAGCCATAAAACATATAAACTTTCATCTTGATAATAAAACTGTTAAAAATAATTCCTACAACAGCCAATTACGTTTAATTAATTT